CTGTATGTACACACACATAAAACATATTTATGTTTAAACAGACAGACAAAAAAGATGAGTTCAAAAATCCTAAAATGTTTTCTATATAGAGATGTACTTTACCAACACAACTCCTTCATATTTAGTGCTGAGTTGGTTAAGGACTATCCCTATCTGTCTGATATATATTTATGTTTGTAACTTCTAGCACTGGCCATGTATCTGAGGCTGCAACATTGTGGTCCTTGATAGGGCAGCTAAGGGGCCATAAGAGATGTAGAATTCCCCCCACTCCCAAAAATTAATTTGAGATCAAATGTGCAGATTAAACTTCAGATGCTTCTCCTGGCTCCCACAGAACATTTGATAATACTTTTTCTGACAATGGAAAGGAGGTACACAGAATTTGTTCATTCTGCATGCTAGAAGCTGCAGATCCACGATCCTCTGAACCCCCGGTTAGGTCCCAAAGTGGTCTATGGTAGATCTGCAGTTGGTACAGATTAATTTCCTTCCACTGACTTCAATGAGAAAGAACTTTTTTTTAAGGAAACCTGGGGGAAGAGGGAAAAGCAAGCTGGTCTGGCTGGTTTCTACCTACTGGCAGAAGCCAGACAAGACTGAATGTTTTGGAAGGCCTGATGTCATGATGTCTGTAATCAGCAGTAGCATTGCCTTGCTCATGCTGAAATGTAGAAAGACAGAAAGAAAGAAATGATGGAGACTTCCTGTGAATACTGGGAAGACCATAATGTGGAACCTAGCAAAGATGGGTACAGATGATCAAGTGTAATAAAGACCTCAATTTTCGTAAGAATTCCATGTAATTGTCTATGCTATAATCATTCTCTCTCTCTCTTTTTTTCCTTGCAGTTATGTCAGTTTACTGTTCCTGTTTCCCATTTGGCTGTTTACACTGGTACCTCTGATCCTCTGCCTCCTTCCAGTGTTCTTCCTTCTTCCAGCCCTGCTCTAAGTGCATTTCCTTTTCAGTGCCCTGAGCAACTCTCTCTGCCAAACAGCACCAGCTACTCCTCACCTATTAAGGTAGCCTTAGGCAATACATCTGTCATGGAGAAGAGCTTAGAGGCTAACAGGTTTAGTTCTGATCCCTTTCCTTCCCTCCTGGAAAGGGCTGAGATCTCCATGGATTCTGAACTGGACAACAGTTCTCCAAATGCTATCAACTCTGAGTCCAAAGTGCCACAAAAATCAAAGGTGGCCTTGTCACTGGGCAGGTTCTTGAAATGGGGATGCTTGAATTCACCAGTGTTTGCCACACTTTCACCTAAGCATCCTGCAGTGGCACATGGAAAAGTGCAACCCTTAGATGATCTGAGCCAACACCTGCAACCAAAATCCAAAAAAACATCCACGTGAGTATCCCTGTGGGTTGTTTTACTTGGGCTTAGTGGCCATATCTTATTCCCCAGAACAACAACTATGCATGCTTCATGATTGATTGATTATGTGCCTAGCAACCACATAGGTAGATTTTCTCCATGACAATCTGTTCCTAACCCAGCCCTTCATATCTTCCAACTGTGCACCCATTCCCATTGTAACTGAGTCCATCCACTTGCTCCTGGTTGTCTTATTCTTTTCTTTCCTTCCATCTTTCCCAACATTAGAGCCTTTACCACAGAGCTAAGTCTTCACATAATGTGTCCAAGGTATGATAATTTGAGCCTGTTCATTTGTGTCTCAAGTGAGAATTCTAGATTGATTTGTTCAATGATCCATTTGTTTGTTTTCTTAGCTGTCTGTGGTATTCTCAGGAATCTTCTCCAACACTATATTTCAAAAGTGCCAATATTCTTTCTATCCTGCTTCTTCAAAGTCCAACTTTTGCTTCCATGGAGTGTCAAAGGGATTACCATTGTTTGAATGATTCTGAACTTTGTAGGTATAGACACATTGTGGTATCTGAATATCTTTTCCAAGGCCTTCATGGCTGCTCTGCCATGTGCTAGCCTGTGGCATATTTCTTGACTGCTTGTTCCTTTACTGGTGGTAGTTGACCTAAAAGGCAGAAACTACCTACCACTTTGATATCTTCGTTGTCAGCCCTAAGGCTGGCTGTTCTACCTGTTGCTACTAGTTGGGTCTTCTTTATATTCAATTTTAGTCCCACTTTTTCACTGTGCTCCTTGACTTTCATCAGTGGAGCTTGCAAATCCTTTGCATTTTTGGCTATCAGGATAGTGTCATCAGCATAATGCAGGTTATTGATGTTTCTTCCCACAGTTTTAAAACTACAGTTGTCTTCTTCCAATCCAGTTTCCCTTAATATATGTATATTCAGCATATAGGTTGAATAAATAAGGGGAAAGTACCCAGTCTTGTCTCACTATGCTTCATGACCTCACAGCAAAGCAGACTCCACCCAATATGAATATGGGCATTTTCATTGCCCATCAGCAATCCACCACTGGTTTCTCCCACTTATTTCTAGAAACAAGGTTTTATGCTTCAGAAAAGAAGGCACGAGAGAATATTTATTCTCTTGATTCTAAATGGTACGGTATTATTGGTCACTGCTTTATTCATACGGTGTGCCACCTTGAAGTTTCTGCTGCAGAAATGAAAAAGGAGTTATACAATGTTTGTATACACCAAATAAATGATCAGTTTCTCAACACCTTCATTCCAAATTGTTGGCATGGAAGTATGTAACAGTTAAATTCCAACCAATATTTTAAGAATCTAAATGCAAACCTTTGCTTCTAAATTTGTACCCTTTTCAGGCTTGCACCAAAACAATCTAGAACGGCTGTAGGAACTGGTAGGCAAATGTACAAGAGGGGCCCCTATTTTAATAGTTGCACAACAGCAAAATTCAGTACCAAGCAGCTGGCTTGTTTACTTCTGTAATATCTGAAAAATTGCTGCCAGATATCCAAATTGTGAGGTTTGGATTTGTTTCTTTTTTGCTTAGCTTCTTTCAGATTTCTCTGGAGAGCAAAATCCACCCAGTGGATTCTGGAGTGGAAGAAGAACACCACCATTGGCCTTACAAGGATTCTGCCAAAGAAGTGATCTGCCCATGGGAAACTCTAACCGAAGAAGGACAAGTTGGATAAGAAGAAGACTTTGAAGCTATTAAGATGTGAGCCACTTAGAAATGAGTAATTTTTCCTGGGCCTGAGTTGGCAGGTATTAATCACTTACCATTTGATCTATCCATAATGCTATTAATAAGAATTCTTTGGAATGATTAACAGTTTTTTATTTATTGGTTTTATTTAAATAAAGTATTTTTTAATCATAGAATCATAGGGTTGGAGGGGACCTTGGATCCCACCCTCCATCCTAGAATATCAGGTAGTTGTCAAGAAACTTAATACCGAAATATGCCACAAAATAATAAAGTAAAATAAAGTAAAATAAAGTAAAATAAAGTAAAATAAAATAAAATAAAATAAAATAGTGCCACCCAGGGTCAAAACCACTTGGGTGAGGTATAATGATCGAACAAACATTTTTATTTCAATATTCAATGCCTCTTGTCCAGCATTTACTGTCTTGGCAAATTGGCCCTATCATGTACTGGCTTCTTCGTAATGCTTAACTGCTTTAAATATATACCAGGAAATTCTTATATTTGATCAGTGTTTTGGAACTTTTGTATTTTGTATCTGGATTTATTATATACTGTTTTTTCCTTTAGAAGGGCCAACAATTTTATATGCATCTCCTAATGCTCTGCTATCAAGTTAACAACTTTCTAACTTCAATAGTGGAACATCACTGGGCACCTGGGTTAGGTGAAATCACGCAGAAGCCACACACATAGGGCGTTTTCCAATTGCACCTCACTATGGCACCAATATCCGTCAGCAACATCATCTTGCTTTCATCTCTTCCCCAGCCAGGAGAGAAGGGTTAAGACATCCTTAGCTTTATTAGTATTAAAATAGTATTTTCCCTTTTATTCCAATGCTACCTAAAGGCAGCATGAAGGTGTAGAAAATCTGTTAGGTTTTGACACCCCTTACTTTAGAAGGAAGTTGGGTGGTTGCCATGAGTTGGAACAGAAAAAATAGGGGTCAGCAAGGGGGACAACCAATATTGGTATAGTTTTGGCTGAGTAAAGGATGTGGGGAGACTACTTCATCTCAGCAATGAGGAAATACCCTAATGGCTGAATTCCTAAATACATGTACATACAAGTACAAATGTTTTCCAGTAGTGAACATTAGAAAATTAGCTATAATATAAAAAAGAGTTTGAACCAGAGAAGACAAACAACAGGCAACTCAGGCATTGGTGGAAATGTTGGGGTCTGTTCGAATAGAAGAGAGGTGGATAGTCTTCAGGGCCAGGGTGGCATATGTCCCCTGCCAAAACTCTGAGTGCAGCCCCCATCCGAAAATTACCAATTTACCATAATATTTAATGTGATAGAAGAGAAAATAATTCAATACATTAAAAGTAATTAATTAAAGTTAAAAAATTCAGTTAAATAGTTTTTTGTTGTCCCGGTGTATAGACGTCTTTGCCCTTGCATGAACCATTTTCCAGTGTGCAGCCCCTGGTTATTTATTTATTTATTGGTTGCATTGGGAATCTGTCTGACACTTGGTGGCTCACAACTTCAAACAGCAAAACAATAAAAAGGAACTAGAGCATTCGGACAAAAATATCCCACCTAACAAAACATCAGTAGGGCTCCATAGCCACCCTGCCTGAAGGCCTGGATGTACAACTTGACATCATTACATCATAGGGTAAGAGCCACACAAAGTTCTGGGGGGAGATAATTCCAGAAGACAGATGCTACGACAGAGAAGACACGCTTCCTAGGTCCCCATAGGTGACATTGTTTGATTGAAGGGACCTGAAGTACAACAACTCTGCCTGATCTTACTGGACAGGCAGAAACCATGGGACATAGATAGTACCTCAAATAACCTAGCCCAGACACTAGTCAGTGCTCTGTTTGACTGACACTGAAGACTGATAACTCCTTTGTTGCCCTTGTCAACTGATTTAACCAAACGTTACATTATATTGCTATATAAGTAAGTTTTAGCATGCATGAATGTACCTGTTTCAGAAAAGGATGCTTTCAATGGACTGTTTTCCTGATAAACAGATTTTCTAGTGCAATGATTGATTTCCTAAGAATCAAACTTATTTCATTTACCTGTTTCAAGTATGTTAGCTTTTAATGTTACAAATAAAAATGAATTTGTCTGGTAGTGTTTTTTGTATTGTCTTTTTCCTTCTTTTTTGTTCTCTGTCAGGAAAATGACAGAGTTGGGGGTGGGGTTGGTTATTTTCACTATTTTATTTTATGCACTTATTTTTCCATACTTTCACCAGACTGTGTATGCCACAAAAAGATTAAGAACCCCTGACATAGAGGGTTCTAATATGAAGGCTACTTGGTTTCTCACTCCCCTATACCTATCCACAAATTATAAGAATTGCTCCAATTACACTTCCCCAAACTGTTGTCTTTCACATGTATAGCGTTAACATTTCTATCAACAGTAATCAGTAGGCTTGTTGGTAACTGATCACTGGCATTATTATCTAATTCATCTGGAAGAAAGCAGAAAGAGGTTGATTAACCACACCCTGTCAAATGCATGGGCAATCTGCAGCTCCCCAACAAACTTTTTTTTCTGTTTTTTGCAGGCCCAAATCACACTGTCAAAATTTGGCAGAAAACTCAACAGCAAAGATGCATATGGGAAGAAAACAACTTTGAAAAACAGATTTTCTTTGAAGAAGAAAAAAAAAGCAACTGTCCCTTAAAACTGTCACTAATACACCACAAAGCAATTTACCAATCTCTGAATAATCCTCAAAATCCTAGGCTTTGCCTACTAGTATCACATCACATCATCAATCTTTCTTCTGTGGCTCTCAATACCCAAAGCATTTTTAAAAAATGTGCTCCCTGACTGGCAAAATGTATCCACCTATGTTGAAAAACAACAGTGGACTATTTAAGATAATATGATGAATTTTGAACTCTACAGAGGCAATATGAAAATATAAAACTGATTTATATCAGATAATTATTTCATCCAGCTCAGGATTGTCTACTCTGACTAGCAATTGCTTTCCAAGGCTGGAAATGGTTTTTTAGCAGAAACATCTTAATGTGGAATTGAATCTGAAACCTCCTCTATGCAAAGCATATAGATTGTTACTGCTTCTCAAACAACTTGCCAGAGATTTCAAAGTAGGCTTGAAAAGCTTTCATTAGGTAGGATATGACTTCATTTTTCATATCGTTGTACTTTGAACCAACAGGCAATAGTCAAGCTTGTTTATATATAACACTGATCAAATAATTATGATGCTCTGAGGGTAGGACTTTAGGGCAGAGGTCTGAAGCTCAAAAGTCTGATTTATCATGCTGTGACACCAATTACAAGCTAAAACACTCTGCCCATATCACCATTATATTATTAAATCCTGGGTCCAGAATTACCTGTTGGTGATAATGCTGATTAATTGTTTGCAGAGGAAGGACTGACGGTAGTGCTGAAGTTTAAATCCAGACTTCCTCCTTCTATCAGGCACAAGGCCCCATCTTTTAGAGGAGTGAAATAGGCAAGAAGTAAAGCTACCTGTGGTTCAGTCTGGTTAACTGACTTGTAGACAGCAGCATCTCTCAAAGATATGACATCCTCCATCACGGTAATAATTTTTTTGTTCACTTCAATGCAAGTAATCTTCCATCCAAGTATTAACCAAGTCTGACTTTGCTTAGCTTTCCAAGATCAGCCAAGTCTTCTAGGCATTGCCATCGTAATAATAAATCACAGGAGTGGGCAAAGCCCCTGCAATTTGACAAACTTATCAAATAAAGTCTCCTTGTAAGGTTACATGCTTATACCAAACCAGGGTTGTTCAGATAGTTATCAAGTACAAACCCTGCGGTGGATCTAATGTACATTTAGGGAAAAATCACTCTCTTTGCTCCACAGAAATAATAATCTCTACATAGTCATAGCCTTAGTCCATCTCATTATTGTACATATCTGCACCTATGCCACAGCAGTTAAGAAGCTTTTTAAAGATCTTAAAGATATATTTAGAGGAGAGAAATTCCAGATGATATGCAGGAGATCTGTGACAAAACCTTTCTGTGGTTTTGTAAGAAAATTTTATCATACATATCTGTGTACATATCGGCGCATATGCATATTTAAATCATGCATATCTGTGTATGCGTGAAGGGATATCGGATGGAGGCAGGGGTTCTGGTAGGGTCGAGTTCATTTCAGCTCATTTAAAGACAGCCTTTTCAACTGAAAATAGTTATAGTGTTCCAATACATTAACAGATGATGCAATAAAGCTAAAATAATATTGTCACCTGTTCCCTAAAATGAAAAGTTAGGAATAATGGCAACAAATATGAACAGCAAATACAGGGAGTTATCAGAGTCCATCTTCACAACGAGGGGAGATGTAACTGTGCTCTCATGCAAACTGAGGAAAAACCGGTGAGAGCTGAACTGGCTTTCTGCAGAGAACCGAATGGAATTAGGTGCTCCCCCCAAAAAATCTGATGAGGACCAGACTGGATAGCAGTATTAATGTTGTACACCCCTCATTTTATTCCCAGGCTGTATCTTTGGGCAAATAAGCCTATCCAGAAACATCACAAATTTCCAATGATTCCCTGCCAATACACCTAAGCCTGGGCAAATGCCAGGATTCCTGAAACTCTTCCCTTCTCAGAAGTGGGGTGCACAGGCATAAAGATCATGAGAAGCAACACCCCTATTGCTTTTTAACCTAGAAGGAAGGGGGTCTCAGTCTCACCTTAAAATGTTTATGAGTTTGGAAAGATGTTGCTACTGCTAAGCCCTAGAAAACATGCCCTAAAATGAATATCTCCTTTACCCTCTCTTTCACTATGTGGAGATTTATGCAGGAAAGCAGACTGGATAATTTTTCAAACGTGTTCCCTTACTCTTCGTAAGCCTAAAGTTCTTGGCAGGGAATCATGGGCATAATGAGTTCAGTGCAGTAGCTGAATCACTCAGGCTATTCGGATAAGGCAGTATTATGTGGCAGGGATATATACTGTAGGTTACAGAGGAAAATCATAA